TTCTCACTGTATCTTACCAAACTTGTCTCATTAACTGCCTACCATCCCTTACAATGTCTTTCTCATTCAATTCTATCCCTACCTTACCACACAGTGGTCCCGAAACAACTCACCACTCAGTGGATATCCACTGAAAGACCATATTCCTTGTATCTGTGCTATCTTTAAAAGCCCATTATGCTCCCAGAAAGGTGCTGTCAGTCTAGAGGCGCCCTGCATGTCCTGATGGATGGGGCGGTGCAAATGTAAGACATCCTCTTGCCCTAGGACCAGCAGTAGAGGCCTCAATGCCAGATCATTTCTGAGGCTGCCACCTTCATCAGTGCAGTCTCAGCTGTCTGGACAATTGCCAAGCACTGGAGGAAGAAGGTAAATGACTGTCTCCACTCCACCAGCATAAGTGCCACCACCTTCTCTCTGATATCTCACAGTTACTCTATCTCTGCTCCTGTACCCACCTCCAACCAAGGTTCATGGTCCACCATGCTCACTACTGCCTGCAACATTTTCCCCTCACTCGCTATCACCCACCCCCACCTCCTACACCACTAACCCTGCATGCCCTACGAGCTGCTTAGTCATTCACTTGGGTCAACTCCCTACCTGCACCAAAGGCAGCTGCTGTTCCACCCACTTTTAAGTCCCATAATGCCAGCATCTCTCTCATTTCGGGAGGAAAGCAGCACCCAATAGAGTCATGACAAGTGCTGAGCTGCCTGACATCTAGCTCCTCACCACTTAAATGAACAGCATCCTGATTTGACCACCCAAGCAGCTCAATGACCATGTTCAAGCACCTGGACTGGTATCGGAGGCTACCCTTGACTTGCTGTGCCATAATCCCCTGACTGATGGCTATTCCTCTTCACTTGACTGAGGCCTACTGGCAACCATGACAAGTTCCCTGGCTTTGTGTCTGTGTCTGCTAAATGGAAAGGCAAGACAGGAGTAATATCTCTGGCTGAGAGGGCAAAGCGTAAAAGGCAAGACAGTGCAAGGCTGAGATGCTGTCAGCATCCAGGTAGGCTTAGTGTGAGTGAATGCTATGGCAACAAACAGCCTAGAGATACAGCCTGGTCCAATCCATGTCCTAGGTATGTCAGCACAGTCTCCTTGTTGTCACTGCAGCATTACAATGACAGTCACCGGCCTGAACTGCAGAAGCGTACTGTAAGTAGATCAGAAAGATGCCAAAAGCTGACACATTTCAGATGCCAATATTCATGGACATGGGGTGCCTGTGGCTCATGCAGCATGCCCTGAGATGTTGTCGCCTGGTGCCCAACATGAAGGTAGTTTGCAGTCAGCAGCAACCTCAAGTTGCTAGGTACTTACTCTGACTTCTAAATCCTGGATTCTCAACATGTATCTTCATACCTCCTCCCTCACCCCCATCCCAGGCCCCAAGAAGACTTTCCACATCAAGCAGATGTTCACCTGCACATCTGCCAATGTGGTATACTGCATCCTCTGTACCCGGTGTGGCTTCCTCTACATCGGGGAAACCAAGCGGAGAC